CAGCAGTTTTTTTTTGAGTTGGAGTCTCACTCTGTCACCCAGACTGGAGTGCAGTGGCTGCTTCCGGCCACCGCAGCCTCGACCTGCTGGGCTCCAGCGATCCTTCCGTCTCAGCCTTCCAAGTAGCCGGAATTACAGGCATGCGCTACCACGCCCGGCTGATTTTTTTATTTATTGTAGAGATGAGGTCTCGCTGCCCAGGCGGGTCTCGAACCCTCGGGCTCAGGCAATCCACTCACCTCAGCCTCCCAAAGGCACGGGATTACAGGCTGAGCCACCGAGCCGGCTCCATTTGGCCTTTCTTAAACAAAACCTGCCTGACTCCGGGTGGGCCTTTAAAGTTGCAACTTGCCTTTCAAAAGGAAATACCTTTAACTGCTATCAACCTTTCCTTCTTGCCGCTGGGCCAGTGGCAGCCCAGGTGAGGCCAACTGCTGATCCCGAATCAGCCACATGTGTTTCTGTGTTTATTCACTCAATCACACAAGAAATTATTTGAGCATATACTGCCTCCTGCCACACCATGGCTGACCGCAGGTCTTTCAGCATGGCTTCAATCTAAACGGTAGCCAGCGCAACCCAGTGTGATTGGAAAGGGCTCATCTAGATTGGTTTATGTATGGGAGCAGGGGATTGACTCAAATGATCCTGGGTGTGAATCAGTCCTACAAAAGTAGCCTTTTTTTTTTTTAATTAAAGTTGGAGTCTCACTTTGTTGCCCAGGCTAGAGTTCAGTGGCATGCTAATGGCCACTGTAGCCTTGGCCTTCGGGGCTCAGGCAATCCTTCCGCCTCAGTCTTCCTAGTAACTGGAACTACAGGCACGTGCCACCATGCTCAGCTAATTTTTTTTTTTTTATATAGGGATGAAGTCTCGCCAAGTTGCCCAGGCTGGTCTCGAACCTGTGGGCTTAATCATCTCACCTCAGCCTCCCAAAGTGCTGTGATTATAGGCATGAGCCACTGCACCCAGCACAAAAGTAGCCTTTTTTTTTTTTTTTTTGAGTTGGAGTCTCACTCTGTCACCCAGACTGGAGTGCAGTGGCTGCTCCCGGCCACCGCAGCC